CTCCACACAGCGCTGCTTAAGGAGAGATTAAATGGAAATAATTTCTATTTATTGTAATATTTATAAAGGTTTAGTAAATAATTGGTGCTGATCCCTCCTTGATTTCCTCGGGGGCCAGCGTGCGGGTCTGGTGAATTAAAGTTTAACGAGGTGTGACAAGCCGTGAGGAGGCAGAGCGGGCAGCTGCGGGGCGCATCAGCCCCGCGGCTCAACCCGTGCTGCCCTGGCTCGAGTGGGAGCGAGGAGAACCCGGCCGCAGGATCCTGTGGAACCTCTACAAATCCATTTCTTCTGCCCGTACCAACCCCCTCGATTCACAGTGCACAGAGCAGATCCCAGTGTCTACAAACTGCACCTTTATTGGGTCCGTGTTGGAGCACTTTGGATCCGTAGCTGATGCTGTGCATGATGCGTCCGTCTGAGAGGGGGCACAAAGGCACTGAGGGGAGCAGCAGAGCCAGCGAAGCCATTTGGGCAGGCACCGGCACCGTGCCTGCACGAGCAAAGGGGGGAAAGCTAGTCCTGCCCCAGTTGGCAAACTGGGGGCTGTCACCATGGTGGGTGACACCAGCCCTGACTGATGCATTGATACCCAGCACGGGAGCAGCAGTGCTGGAGGACCCAAGAGCAGCTGCTGGGACATGGGAGCCCCTATGCTCCCTCCTGCCAGCCCCAGTCCTGTGTGCCCTCCAAGCTCAATGGCTTCATCCCTGCAGCTTTCGGCTGGGCTCGCTGCCGGGCTGGAGAGTGCTGGCTGCCGCCGTGAGGCCGGTTGCTCGGCAGAGTCATGCACGGCAGAGTCATGCATGGTGTCTGTGTCGGTGTGATGTCCAAGCCCTGCATCACCAAGGCATGCAGCTGGCAGAGCTCTGGGGCTGCCCCCGCCTTACCTGCAGCTGCTCAGGCACACATGGGCCTCTCTCAGGGGACTTCGGTTTGTTGGGTTTAGTCTTTATTCATGTGGTTGACTCTCGAGGGTTCGGGGACTTGACAGGCTTGAAAAGCTGCTGAGCCAAGGGAAGGTGAACTGGTGGGATGGGCAAGCTCACAGCTCCTCTCCTCTGTGGAAAGAACAGACACCATCAGGCATGCCCGTGGGCAGCCAGCGCCCCCCCTCCCCACCAAGCATGCCCTCACTGCTGTGACACCCAGGGAGATGCCCACGGTCCCAAGCAGGAGAGTTCCCATGGGTGTGCCTCCCTCCCTTCAGAGCCATGGAGGATCTGGATGAAGAGCTTGGTGGTGGCATTACTGGTGGCCACCACTGGGGCCAGCCACCTGTGGGCACATCTCCCTCCCTCGTCCCCTCCCAGCAGCCCGTCAGACAGCAGTCAGGTTGGGAGCCAAGGCCTGCAGGAGTGTCACACACCTCGTCTGGGACTTGTTGTCCTTCTCCTCAGCCTTGAGGTGGCACTGGCAGGTGGAGGCTTTGCTGTAGCTGACGGAGCGCTTCACGGACTTCCTCCACTTCCGTGCACTCCGCACAACCCGCTTGAAGATGAGGTAGAAGATCTCACAGACAGTGAGGACGATGCAGATGGAGGAGGCTCCAACCATGAAATAGGTGAAGACCCTTTTTTCCGTTGGCCGAGCAATGTAGCAGTCCACAGTGTTGGGACAGGGCTCCACGTTGGCGCACTTGACCAGCCGTGGCAAGTCGAAGCTGTCCCACATCTTGTGGAGGAGGTAGAGGAACAGGATTTCTATGATAAGCTTAAAGAAGAGGCTGAGCAGGTAGGTCCACCACAGCCCACCGTGCTTCTTGCCCGTGTTGCTGTAGAGCTTGGGGCAATTCTCCCCATTCTTCTCCCGGTTCTTCTTCTCGCGGTCTTCCCGGTAAGCCACGTGCATGATGACCAGGAGGGAAGGGCAAGTGACAAAGATGAGCTGCAGGGCCCAGAGGCGGATGTGGGAGATGGGGAAGAAGT